CATAGTACCTTTTGTCCATATTCTGAAACTTCACTATATTGGAAATACTAACTTCAAACTACTCGGTATAGGGTGTGGGGCAGTAGATCAGTGGCAGAGTGTACGGAACCATCCGGCTTACGCATGACCGGGCAGGGTCGCATTTCAATTCCACACGACGCATACAATACGAGTGTCGACCGTAGCTGGAGAGGTGCAATTCAGCAACACTCCTGTGCACTTGCCGAGCGCGCCTTGAGCAAGGCAACTACCCCAAGAACCTGCCGGCACGGGCAGCGCTACCGTGGCAACCACTCCACTCCCACGCTCTCCTCCCTGTTGCACTGTCCCAGCAAGGCCATAAGTGTTATTCAGCCTGTGTTGTTCGGAATCAAAAATAACAAAAAAAACAATTTCCCAATAGGGATCTCAATAACATTCAGTACACATACCTCTTACCAGTTATCTTATCCTTATATCCTCCACAGTACAAACATAAACACGATAATCGCCATGAACAAACAACATCTGTCTCACTGGCCCCGTACCGTCGCTTCTCTTAATCGTACATCTGGACATCCACCAGGCTTCTGATAAAACACGCCCGAGCACCAACATCAGATAAAGAAACATAGTCTCATTCCAGGTGTCGAATAAGAATGCTTTAGGTTGGTACTTCCGAAAGATAGTGATGTGACTATGTTATTTTAATAAAAGTTACCTACAGCAGCTTTAATGTTAGTTTTTTCCATAGTTTACGACAATAAAATATTGTGGTTTGATAGTTTTACTGTAGATTAGCAGAAAAGAGAACTGAGCCAAAGATGGCAAAGAGGAAGAACAAAATAGTCAGATAAGATCATTTATACCCAGAAGCATAGCACCTCCTCAATCTACGTAGTACTACGTATTTTCTTAACTTAATTCTGTGGAAGTGTCTGGAGGGTTAGAATTGTGCAATATGCATGCAATCTATTTCAATTTCAAACTGGTAGTAACTATCTAATGTAGGGCTGCAGCCAGTTTCTCCTGAAGACTTCAATGAGCAGCAAAGTATTTAATGTTTAATTTATCAAATAAGAAGGCAACAAACTGTACATCACATTAAAGCTTAGGCTTAACTCTGAGCTACACCAAAACAAAACTGAGAAGACATCATATCCTTTGGCCGCAAATGTCAACTCAGCTTGTTAAATGCTGAGTAGCAACAAAACAGTGTCTCAGCTGGTACAGTTACAGTTTGTCTATGTCGTGTCTCTGCCAGCTCAGCTGTCAATCACACTGGCACTCGGACGTCAAAGGGGAATTTCAGATATATCACAAGGTATCTGGCCCCTCATGATCCTGAAAGTGGTCCTAGCTTGTTTGAGGCTAGGCAAAGGGCTTAACGATAACGGTAACTGCTGGTAGAAAACTCCTTATTTAAAGAAGCAGTAGGTCAATTTTATTAAAACATTTTTTTTTTCATATTTGCTGAAACTTCACTGTATCCTGACAGTAGTACATGAGACAGATAATCTCTGGCTAGTGCCCCTAATGGCATTTGCAAGAATCCACCAAGCCTGAGCGACAGCAGTTATATGTGGAGAATTTAAATATGGAAACATTTTAAGTAGTAAAGAAGGAAATTCAATATTTTCTTACAGTGTTGCCACACATTTAAGTATTTTTTCAGGCATCTGTGCTTTAGCCTACTTGAGTATTTACAACATTTTAGTTTAACCCCCTACATTTTTACACAAATATCTTCTTCGTACCACTACTTTCACTAGAGTCTTTTTTTACACAGGGAATCAAATATGTAACAGCTAAAAGCCTGAAATACTGTTGAGTGGCCACACAAACCACACACAGCACATTATCTGTTTTGGCACAGCCCCTTTAGCAGATACTGGAGTAGACTGAAACTCTTGAGTGCTTCCTTGTGCTCTTCACTGTCGTCCTTCCACTGCACACCCATAGAGCTGCACTGGTAAGTTCAATCAGCATTAAGACAGTGACATCAGAGTCACTCAAGAGAGATTTTTATTTTTTATTTTTTACAGTAATCTTTATGTAATGCTTTTTATGAAATGTACATAGGCATATTTTGCTTAATTGATTCTGCTTTGAAAGTAGGGTATTTATTATGTATTATAAGGGTCCCTTTAAATCAGCTAAGATAGAGCACGTAGTAAGATGACTGTTCAGTTTCCTACAAAATACTAAAATGACTCAGGTCATGGCACATCTTGTTTTTTTAATTTCCATGGAAATTAATCTGTAACATTTTGCTGCAGTGACAAATCAGCAATCTGATTCAAACTAACATTACATAATTAATTAATGTTAAGCTGCAGAAATTTATGTTTGTACCTTGATGTGAAAAGTAACATTATGATTGCATCTGTGATTCATTGCGAATGATTAGAAAGAATTATGACCACTCTTTAATGTAAAATAGACAAAACTGCTGAGTAGCTAATAAGGCACAAACCCAACAAGACAGTTTTTCCACATTAGTGGATGGTGTAATGTTACAAAAACTATATTTCTTAGATATTATATTTAAAATGATTTCTTCTAAATGTGTGCATCTTTGCTACTGGCTGGTCAAAAAATAATTAACCATCTACATTTTTAATATAGTAAAAAAATGGGTCAGAAAATGAGTCATATGATTGATGAGTTTCACAGTGATACAAAGGGCAGATAAATCTGAGTGAATCTGTAAAATACATACAGTAAAACTCAGTTGTATGTCCAATGACGATAACAAAATTAATATCAATGTCAGACAGATGTACAGGCATGTAAGCTCACAGCCTTCTGAGGGCTACACCTAAAGTGAAAGGACATCTGACCTCTATGTAAGCTTGGCTTCAAATTAAGCTATAGAGGAAGTAACAAAAACTGCAGTTACTCTAACGGCCACCCTAGGCTGGTTACATCTCCATAAGGCCCCATATTAAAATGCCCAACTTTACAGAGTTGGGTGAGTACTCGGCTAAAACGGGTGTGTGGTACAGATAATGTTCTTTTTTACAAGTATCAGTACTCCCAAATTCCACCTGAAGTGCAGTGGTGCGTCTCATAGTGGTGGTCTATTTTTCCCAGAAGCCCGAAGCTGAGAGCCACTCACATCAAGCAGCACAGAGCAGATCTCACTGACATAGAGGGTAAAATGTGTCAATATTCGTATGTGGCAACTTTTATTTAAAAAAATAGTTCTCTTACTCAAAAATCAAAAACAACGCTCTGAAGCTAAAATATGAAACTAAAGCTATTCTGTAAATAGTTTTTTAAAAATGTGGCAACTTCGGTTCAACCCATATACATTTCAGGCTTAAATGAACTTCCAGTTGGTCCTGTCGCCTTCCTGTTTAAACACCACCTACATCCAGTTTAAGCCCCGCCCATTCCGATTACAGATACGAATGATACAAATACAGATAATACAGATATTGTACTCGCTCATCCCTACTTTTCAGTCTCCTGGCCTTCATCAGTGTGTGCTAACCAATGTATTCATTCTCTAAAACATAAAGTTGAGTTTTCTTGGCAGGGGCTAATACAGATCGAACATGAGAAAAAGAGGTTTGTCAATGTGTGTGTCTGTTTTTGAGATTAAGGCCAGTTGTGTTTAATGAGCAATTTCTTCAACTACCACCAAAGATTAACATATCTTTAATTTATCTGTGCCACAGGACAAATCGCAGCCATGAGTGAGTTTGAAGACATCTGGAATTTTTTCGATCAGTATGGTAACACCACTGATGGGAATTATGTGGTCAGTGATACTGTCATGCTCTGTTCGAAGAGCGATGTCAATGAGTTTGGCGCGAGATTCATCCCAATTTTCTACTATACCAACTTCATCCTGAGTTACATCGGCAACGGGCTTGTCCTCTTCATCATCTACAAGTATGAGAAGCTGAACACGGTGACAAACATCTTCCTCCTGAATTTGGTCCTCTCCAACATTCTCTTTGCCTCCAGTCTGCCCTTCTGGGCGATGTACCATCAGTCTGAGTGGATTTTTGGCTTGGTTCTGTGTAAGATAGTCAGCAGTGCTTACTTCATTGGCTTCTACAGCTCCATCCTCTTTCTCACACTTATGACATTTGACCGATACCTTGTAGTGGTGCATGCAGTGGCAGCTGCCAAGAGCAGGAAAAGGGTATACGCCATCATTGCATCTGTGGTGGTTTGGTGCATCAGTTTTCTAGCAAGTGTGAAAGAGCTCATTCTCCAAAATGTGTGGACAAGCCCGTCCGACGGAATCATGTGTGAGGAGCTAGGATACCCAGAGGAGACCATGGAGCGCTGGCGTCTGGTCACTTACTACCAACAGTTCCTGCTCTTCTTCCTTCTCCCTCTGTTCATGGTGATGTACTGCTACATCACCATCACCGTCCGCATCTTGTCCACCCGCATGAAGGAGAAGTGCCGCTCCATCAAGCTCATCTTTGTCATCATCTTCACCTTCTTCGCCTGCTGGACGCCCTACAACATCGTCATCCTCCTTCGAGCCATTCAGATCTCGAGCACCAGCAAAAATGACAACTCATGTTCCAGCTCCAGCTTGGACTATGCACTGTATGTGACCCGGAACATAGCCTATTTGTATTGCTGCATCAGTCCCATGTTTTACACGTTCGTGGGAAAGAAGTTCCAGAGCCACTTCAGAAGGCTGGTGGCAAAGAACATCCCCTGTCTGAAGAGACACATTAGTCTCAGCAGCCAGAGCACCAGAACCACATCACAGAGGACACCACACTCTGACTACTAGACACACACACACATACAAACAACGATACTGTAAAAAATGCCAATTTATATTCTTTAGTATATATAATTACAAGTTATATATATTACAACAAAAAAACAACCAACACATTATTTTCACTTTAACAAAAGTTAGTCCTGATAACAAAACATCTGCTTCTCACATTCAGACTGTTACTGTTAGAAGATGGAGGCTTGTTGTGTGTCTTTTTGTACATGGATTCTTGCAAATGCCATTAGGAGCACTTTGAGAAACCTGATTTTTTTCACAGATTATATGTATCTATGTACTACTGTCAGGATAATGAAAGTTTCAGCAAATATGACAAAGTTATTTTCATAAAAGTTATCTACTGCAGCTTTAAGGTTAGGACGAGTGTTATTCTATTCGTTAGGTATATACTTTTCATGTTGTCAATGAATCCCATGAAAAGACCAAAACCAACAATGTGTTAGTCTGTCTCTCAGTAATTTCTGGCTCAGTACCCGAAGAGTGGCCCTCAGTCCCAAGCCCACTGGTTCCTACCAACAGCTCACAAATAAATAGTTTCATTTTCAAAAGACTTAAAAGGGCATTAAGTGGCATCTGGCAGTGTAGTTGCAGATTGCAGTGAAGGACACAGAAGTTTATGTAAACTTAAAGGTTGCTTTTTTTGAGGAACTTTAAGTGGTATGTAGTAATATGTGGAGCTAAATGATTATTTACTTGTTGATTCAATGTTGTAAAGTGCATGTTTGTAGCAATGTGATGCATTGACACATCTTGTCCAAGTGCTTTTAAAATAAACTGTATCTTAATCTTGCAATAAATATACCAGTCACTGTTCTTGACATCTGGCCTTTTATTTTTGTCTCTTAAACTCTGTACTGTTGTATTTTGTGGCATTGGATGGATTATCGTTTCCCTTTTCTGACAGAACATCTGGTGAGTTTTCCTGTCAGGGAAGCAAATCGCTCTAGTGAATCAGTGAAATCAGTTCTTGAGAAACCACAAATAGGTATGTGGACATAGTGGAAATGTTGAAATGGTTTGAGGCATTGCAACAGCATTAAATGCTTTTATACCTGATGGCTGATTTAAACATTTCGTTTTAGGTGTTTATATAACAATGCCAGCAGTACTACAGCAGTTTAATATTGGACTTCCATTAAGTTGCTGTAAGTTTATGTATTCTTATTTACCAGATCACTGAACTGTTCCTGTGGTCCCACTTTTCTGCATTTGGGTCCTTTTCCTTGCTGCCTGACACACACACCCTTTACACCCTTTCACCGGAATTTCCCCATTGTGGGACAAATAAAGGAATATCTTATCTTATCTTAACACCTAGACAAATTTCAATTTAACAAATTTCCCATTATATAAGACATTATATAACCATTTTAAATGTGTTGTGTGTTCTCTTTTTTCCTCAATAACTGAGCTTCTTTTCAATAAAGCTATAATCTGTAACGTTTCCACACTAAAATGTCTATAAACTCAATAGCTATGTTCTATATGTACTTGAGCTGTGTACTTACATTATCCCAAATGTTTCCAACAATGTTCAAAGGCAATGCTGTGTTTCAAGGATCGCCTTATATCCCCTTTGTGCATGTGTCAGCATTGTGGTTGT